CCAACCCTCTTCGCGAGGAGAAATGACCGTTGCACCCAGAAACCCCCCCCCCCCCCTCCTCCCTCCTCTACTAGATTTTATTAATAATATTAAGAAAAAAGAAAAAGTGAAACAAGCGAGGGAACTAGGCTAATACCCACTAAAAACAATTAATGAAAACACCATGTTCTAGTAAGAATTCTTCAGCTATACTAATATATATTCGACTTGCATTGAATTTAAAAAAAAAATGTATACAAGCGGGTGAATTTGAAGCTGTGACTTCGGATGCAAGAAAGAATATTCTTAATCAACTAGACGGAGATTTGATAAGAATATTCTTAATCAATACATCTTCGTAAAATGTGGTCAAACTTGTACAAAAGTTGTAGTGACTAGTGAGGCCATGGTATGAATATTGGAGTTCACAATGGCGCCGCACTTCATGTCTTTGTGATGAATTTGATCCTTTTCTTCACTGTTCAGTAATAATTCATCACGTCAATTATTAACCAAAATAAATCACGATTTCATCTAGTCTTAAATAAACCATCATTATATAGGTAGTTCACTCAACATTTAAGTGATTTATTAGTTAATACGATGTTAATTACTTGTTTCAATCACTTCAAAAATATCATCATACATGTCAAACTGTTTATTTTATTTATTTATTTATATTTTTGTCTTCACCAAAACAATTTCATGGAAAATGGCTCAATTAATTCGCTTTTGCTAGGCATGCCACATGGGCTGATATTGTTTTTTTTTTTTTTTTTTTTTTTAACAAACTACAGTATCTACATTAAGGATGAATATTTATACTATTATTTACAAATGAACAGGAATACCAGTAGACCGTAATTCTAAGTGGAAGTTAAAGAATGTATTATTATATATTCGAGATTAAGATTGTCGTTGGCATAAAAAGAGAAACACTCTTGGCGTGTATGAAATGTCTTTTTCATTTGACACAGATAAAAACATAGAAATGAAGTCCTTCAATTCTGCATGAATCATATGAATGTGACGTATCATGGTGGTGGCTGCATCACGTTGGACATAAACTGATGAGCATATATGACAGAAAATGACTTATAATATGTAAATGTGTGCCTTCGAATGTACATAATCGAAAAATTGTAGGAAGCTAGTTAATTCTTGTAGGAGGAACAAACCATCAAGTTAACCCGACAACTCAAAATATTTTTCTAATTAATAAAAAAAAAAAAATTAAAATCTGTTACTAGCTAACCATCAATATTTATTGATTGAAATTTTATTAATTTTCAGTTTTTAATCAAAGTTTTTGACTTTTGTCCAAGGCACTATTTTTGTTTGAATATATATTTTTTAATAGAAATGACATTTATTTTGAATAAAACTCAAATAAGATACAAATCTTGATAGAGGACACCTCGTATGGTTTTAAAGGGTTCCTCAACCCAAACTTTTGGTTCATTGAAAATTAAACTGGACTTAACAAGGCGATGAGCCACTACATTGCAATTCCGTTGAATATACTCGAGTGAACTATCCTGAAAACTAGAGAGGAGTTCTTGGATATCATTTACCACGAACCCAAAAGTTGTATTGAAAATTCTTTATTTGTGTCTGTGTTTATAATGTACCCTTGAATTTTCTCCCATTATATTTATTTCATATTTTTTGGTATATGCCCATTTTCTTGTATTTTTTTGTATGTACCCGTGCTTGATTTCATTGTTTTTTAAGTATTATGTGTACATTGTTTATTATGAATGAATCTTGAGTACATTGTTTTTATATGCATGCATAGAGGGTTGGATCTATATACGAACCAGGGTGATCTCGAGACCTTATGAAGATCGAGAGAAACGATTGTGAAGGACCTCAAAGTACCACTCTAAACCCTAGACGGAGCTCTTAGGAGAACTAGACGAGCTAAATTATGGTGAAAAATAATAATTATTAGGTATAAGAGCCACTATTAGCTAGGTTTATTCGCCGGCGTAAAAAATTTTGTGGTGGTAAATAGAACGGTCAAGTCAAAATGAAGAAGATGGGTTTTGTACCTTAATTCTGTTTTTTTCCAAACGTTGTCGTTTGCCCTTTTTCTACTTTGGACTCACCATCTTGGCATCTTCTAGCCTAACCAAAGCCAAGCATGGTAACTCACATAACCTCATTACATATGAACACTTTAATTCAAAATCTACCTGACATTATATTTGAAATACACATAATAATGTTATAAAAAGGTATAAAAAATTATGGTCCCAACTTGGGACCAGTTATGTATATTGTAATAAGTTATAATTTTTCTTGATTTCATCATAATAAAACACGTCTCTCCATAGTTATAATTGTCAGTCAGTACAAAAACATGGAAGGAATAAAATACTTGATGCCCAAAGAATCCTATTTCGGAAATACAACATTTATTAAGGATAAATAAGTCAATAAACAATATTTTTAACTAAATTTTTATTAAGTAATAACCTCTAAAGTTATAAAATTGGTTTGGACCCAATTGTATAACCTAGGTTTAATTGTATTAAGAAAAACAAAGGAGAGGAGGGGTTAGCATACACGTGACAAGAAAGAGTTCCAAGCAACTGCAATTTTACGGTGTAGCAACTACCAGTGGTGGTGGAACACAAACACAGAGAGAAGAATCACACCACTCACAGACCTTTTTTTTTTTTTTTTTTTTATATCGATATTTTTACATTAAGAGGAGGGAAAAAAACTTGAATCACTAACTGACTTTGAACTCGTTAGGATGTACTTTTAAAATGACTGAAAGTGTTTTTGGTGAAAATGTTTCTAGTTACAATCTTTAGTAAAAATGTAAGGGCTCGTTTGGATGTTTTTTAAATGACTAAAAACACTTTTAAATAAAATGTTTTTGGATTCCAAAAGCACTTTAAGTGTTTTCTCCAAGAAGCATCAGTTACGTGCTTCTTTTAGAAAACACTTTAAATGCTTTTCAAGGATTTACTAGCATTTTTTCTAAGGATTGCTTTCAAAAATATTTTCACTAAAAGCGATTTCAGTTATTTTAAAAGCACATCCAAACGTGCTCTAAGTAAATCCCGGAAAAAACATTTAAAATGGTTATTGGAAGAAGCACATAATTGATGATTCTTGCAGAAAGCACTTCAAGTGCTCTTGAAACCCAAAAATATTTTTTATAAAAACATTTTTAATCATTTTTAAAACAAATCCAAATGAACCATTTGTTAGCATTTTCAGTCGTCGCTTTATTTTTCCAGTCATGGTTTTAATTCCCCAAATAAGACCGTCATTTATGCCTTTTGTTAATTATTGACTTGAGAAGCCTTGCCATGCACGCCGAAACTCATTCGTTTTCTTCTCTCTACTAATTTTCTGTTGACCCTAATATATCTTTTGGATTTTTGTAATTAGGGTTTATGTATATTTAAAAAGCCCAATTTTTTTTTTAATTCTTACAAATGTAAGAAAACAAATAAAAATGCCAAATTTCTTGGTCTCATCGTCCCCCTCTCTCTCCCCTCCTCTGCTTCCCCATTTTCCTGTCGCCATCACCACCAAATCGAGTTGCGACGCAGCATCTCGGTATCGATCGTGCGGAGGAGAGGGTGCAAAAAATTTGTCACAATTTCGTAAGTTCTTGTGTTTTTACAGAGAATCCAAAATGGGGTTTTTTTTATTTTTATTTTTTATTTTTTTGCGCTAGGGAGTTAGTAGCTGTGCAGTGGAAGGGGAAGCGGGATGCTGGATGGTAGAGGTGGGACATCTTTGCCGCCCTCCCATTGCATTTTGGAGAGACGGAGAGTCTGGCCAGCACCAAGGTAGACAGCTCCAACATTACCCTGAAAAAAGGTAATCCATGACATTTTGGAGCAAAAACTCCTTGTTTTCTTTTTGAATCTAACAATATATATTTATTTTCGCTTAGAAGTGAGAGGTCTTAAGTTTGAATCTCGTGAATGATGAATCTGATACCAAATTAGGATGTTCATTGTGTGGCTTAGTCGAACTCTCTCTTCTCGTAATGTAAAAATATTGATGACCACACACTCTTCTCTTTCTTTTTCGATGGCTAGCGTTCTTTTAATTGATTACCCAATATATTTGTATTATTTTTCCATTTTTAAATGTAATATAGTTTTCCATGAAGCTATTGTCTCCTTAATCACTCAAGTATGATTGGATTTGGTACACGCATAAAGCCATATCACCATACAAATAATCCCAAAGCCATACCACCATACAAATCATCCAAATGATAAGAGAGAAATCATAACATGATTGTATTTGCACCACTCCCAAATTCATCCAAAAAAGAAAACTATTTTTTAGTCAAGATGATCATTGAGATTGATATAATTCTCATTTTGATCTCTGGGTTTGAAATCAATAGAAGTGGTCTATGAGTTTGTCCATTATCAATCATTTTGGTCATTCCATAAAAGTTCTGTTAAATAAGGATCAATTCTATTCCTATTTAATGGAGATTTATCATGGAATGATCAAAATAATTGATGATGGACAAACTTAGGGACCAATTCTATCAATTTCAAATCTTAGTGACTAAATTGAAAAGTTTTCCCAACCTAATTATGTGACCAATAAGAAATAAGCACGTTCACCAGCACATGAGTAATAATCCAATCATCAACAACCACATTATTTGGTTTATAAATTTTGTTTTAAAAATTGGGTAATGCTAGAGAGACAAAATGTGCAGACAAAATTTTATAAACTAAATAACGTGAAAGTACATGATTGGATTATTATTTAAGAGTTGATAAACGTGTTCATTCATGTTAGTGACACATTATTTAGTTTGTAAATTTTGTATACAAATTTAGCCTCTTTAACATTTCTACTCAAAAATTCAGTCTTTTTAGTATTATTTAAAAAAAAAAAAAAACATTTATCCAAATACAACACCACAACAATACACGCGCAGAAAAAAGCGTGTGGTCATTTTCACAGCCAAAGAGACTGACGAGGGACGATTCTGGTAGTGCGATGCGATGTGAGCGGCGCGAGAAGACGGGGAGAGAGAGAGAGAGGGCAAGAGTCACCATCTCTGAAAAAGAAGTGTAGTTTAAAGAAGGAACACGCGTGGGTCCCACTCTCCTCTGCCGGGCCGGCCCCACTCTCTCTCCCTTTAGCACTCTAGAGCCTCTCGCTCCTCAGTCAGCAGCTTACTACTAAAGTGCGCGCAGCCCACCTACAAAAAAGCAAAAGCTGTTTAATTACATCCACCATAATCACATAGATCACAGAGACCAGAGAGAGAGAGAGAGAGAGAGAGAGAGAGAGAGAAACAGCTCTAGAGAGAGAAAAGTTAGAGAGAGAGAGCTCTGGTCTCGCTTTGGCTCCCCGAAATTGCAAAAAAAAAAGGAAAAAAAGTGAAGGAAGAAAAAAACCTCGGCATTTGATTAGTAGCTAACCCTTGCCATTTTCGTTGTTGTTGGTCACAGGGCCTTCCGGCTTCCGCAGGTGTAAATGTTCGACTTCGTTTTGCTCTGGTGCGTTTGCCATTGCGATTCTTCTGCGTTTGCAATTTTGAATGTAATTCTGCTCCTCTCTCTGCTCTCACTATCTACGGATTCCACATTCTCTGTCTCTCTTTTTCTTTCCAAAAATATTTATTGGGTTTATTGGAAATGAAGGTTTGCTGTGTTGAGCTTGTGGTTTTTTTTTTTTTTTTTTTTTTGGATTATAAATTTGGTTGCTTCTTCTATGTACTTTGTGTGTAATTTGTGTTTAACTTGATATATGTAAAGGTGTACTTTTGGTGTAATTGTGGTTGAGTGGGAGTGAAGTTAGGAATTTGAGGAGGTGGGGGTTATGGAAAATTTTGACAATTGGGGTTTCATGATTGAATGGCTTTTGTGGTTTAATTCACATTCCCAATTTGTCTCCTTTATTCAAATTCAACTTTTTTTTAGTTTTGTGTTCAAATTTGTGCTAGTTAATGTCGTATTTCCGTGTTATTGAATATATAGAAGAAGAAATCAAACACCAGCACCTGGCATTGTAAATGGATCTTTATTTTTTCATTGAATATTCTTTGTATTAGCGCTTGCGTAAAAGAAGTTTGCATGCTGTTCATATGCAATTTCTGATAAAGATGGAATGGAATTGAAGTATTGTTTTTGGACTGCTTACACATTAAGATCTGACTGTATATGCGAAGAATTCATGTAAGCTAAATCTAGATTGACTTTGCAGATTATTCGTTCCAAGAATTTTCTATGAGATACGTGGTTATCAGGCATGGAGAGGGTTTCGGAATCAAAGGTGCTTCCTAAAAAGTTTCCCGTGGGAGTTGAGGTGATTTATTCACGTTCGGCCTCAACAAGAGGAGTGGATCACTTGTCAAACATGCACTCTGGTTTGGCAAGAGAAGATGTTGCTTCTACTAGAGACAGGGGTCAGTTATCCAATGGACCAGGCATGGAGAGGGTTTCGGAATCAAAGGAGCTTCCTAAAAAGTTTCCCATGGGAGTTGAGGTGATTTATTCACGTTCGACCTCAACAAGAGGAGTGGATCACTTGTCAAATGTACGCTCTGGTTTGGCAAGAGAAGATGTTGCTTCTACTAGAGACAGGGGTCAGTTATCCAATGGGCGCTTAGGCTTGGTGAGAGAAGAAATTGCATTGGCAAGGCAAATGGCTGAGTTGTCAAATGTGCATTCTGTTATGGTAAAAGATGGGAGATTTAATGCACAGGAGTCTCGAGATTCTGACTTGCCCATACCTTTAAGAACAAGGAAAGGAAAGGTCTCTTTGCCAGAAGAGGAAGAACTTTTGTCTGGCTCTCTCACATTCAAGGGAAGTATAGATTCATTTGATGAAGGTGGTCCTAGTTTTTTCGCCGGGGTTAGTCACCCTCCAGAACCTGTTGATATGGATCTAATGAAACCAGTGTATGTACCGATTGGTCAGAATAAGTCCGACACTGGATGCTTGATGAAGAGCTTATCTGTGAAAGGCCCTTTTCTAGAAGATCTTTCCCCCCGGGTTCCTGCTAAGAAACCAAGTCCAACTGTTCTTTCCCCTTCTGAAAGCTTGCTTGAAGAACCCAACGACATAGGTGCGCTGTCTCCGCCATTTGCGGTTCAGCGTGCATCACAGAATACAGATAATTCACTCATTCCTCCAGATTCCGAGGAGAAGGAGTGTGTTTGGGATGCTTCTTTGCCTCCGAGTGGTAATGTAAGTCCACTTAGTAGCATTGATAGTGCTTGTGTTGTCACTGCTATGAGTATTGCCAATAGCTGCGCTAGTACATATAGGAGTGACGCAATCACTAGTGATGGCATGCTTAGTTTTGAGAGAAATGGTGAAAGTACCAAAGGGAGTGTTAGAGGGGATTCACTTGAGAGTGCAAAAACTAGTGTTAGTCGAGCAAGTGTTAGTAGTGGCGTTAGTGATGACAGCAACTGGAGCAACCTTACTGGGAGTGCTAATAAGCCCCATAAAGGAAATGATCCTAGGTGGAAGGCAATTCTTGCTATTCGAGTTCGGGATGGGATTTTGGGTATGAGCCATTTTAGATTACTCAAACGGCTTGGTTGTGGTGATATTGGTAGTGTCTATCTTTCAGAACTAAGTGGAACCCGCTGTTATTTCGCAATGAAAGTAATGGACAAGGCATCCCTTGCAAGCAGGAAGAAGTTGACTAGGGCTCAGACAGAACGGGAGATTTTGCAACTGCTGGACCATCCATTCCTTCCAACTTTATATACACATTTTGAGACCGACAGGTTCTGCTGTTTGGTCATGGAATATTGTCCAGGTGGTGATCTGCACACTCTGAGGCAACGACAACCTGGAAAACACTTCTCAGAGTATGCTGCGAGGTATGGCTTTAATTTCTGATGCATTTTTTCATACTTTACTGTTCCTTATTTTCATCAAGAAGGTAGCCTCCTATCTATATCATTGTTAATATTTCTTTCTTTGTGGAGATCTCTATCTTTTTGTGTTTATGATGTTGCCTCTTTTGGAGTTTTCCTACATGGAAATTGTTAATTGCAATTGATCTAGTTTTTTCTGCCGCAAATGTCTTTTAGTTACGCTTCTTCATGGCTTGTATATGTTTCTTCAATAGAGATTTAGATTTAGAGATAGTTTCATATCTTTGATGGTTCTCATGCTTTTAACAGTACTTTTCTGTATTTTACATGAAATCATCAATCTCCATTCTCACCGACAGTAAATAAGAAATGAAAAATAGTAAACTTCTATACCACAGAGTTTGTGACACGGTAGGGGGGGGGGGGTGTTTTATTGGAACTCTAGGACATCTCGTCCACTGTCTTTTACTTGTCTCTTGTTACTGGCATTTTTGTTTCCTATAACTAACAAGGTCATACTCCTCATTTACTTTGTGTTTGAATCCAAATACTGTGCAAAAGTTCACAAATTTTCTACCATAAAATATAATTGACTAAAAGGCTGAATAACATATTGAAGTATTGGTCGTTGTAGGTTTGGCTGTTTATGCTTGGATTGGAAGCCTTTTTGAATCTAAAGAGTATGTAGAATAATGAATGAAGTATAAACAATTATAACGTAAACAAGAAATGAACACAACATCATTGAACGTATTGCTCTTCATGCTTGGCTTGGACCTTTTGTCAATGTATAAGAAAATACCCTGTGCCCTCAATGACATGTTTTTGTACAACCTTGATCTATCCAATCTAGAAATACTTGAATCAATGATTTGGAAGTTGAAGCATTCAACCAAATGTTGCCTTTTGCCCCCCTTTCCTAGCGGGGACTTTTATATGCATAGGATCCCCAATGTGCGATTGCAAGTCCATATATTTGAAATGCAATCACAAATCAAAATTCTCATTCCATACATGGCCTACAGTTCCTTCATCTACCATCTTTAAATGAAACATGGATTACGCAGTTCAATAAGATGCAGATTGGATGCAGTATAATTTATCATATTTGAGAATGTTGTTCTGTTTTATATTGTGCGGCAGATGTAGTATAAATGGTAGACAGGCAGTTATATACTTGTCTATCTTTGTTCTTGTAGATTCTATGCTGCGGAGGTTCTGTTGGCACTAGAGTATCTACACATGCTTGGAGTTGTCTACAGGGACTTAAAACCTGAAAATGTGCTTGTTCGTGACGATGGCCACATAATGCTCTCTGACTTTGATCTTTCACTGAGATGCTCTGTTTCACCGACCCTGATAAGAACTTCATATGATTCGGATCCCTCCAAACGAGGAGCAGGTGCGTTCTGCGTCCAGCCTGCATGTATTGAGCCGTCATCAGTATGCATTCAGCCTTCTTGTTTTATCCCAAGGTTCTTCCCTCAGAAAAGCAAGAAGAGCCGAAAGCCTCGAGCTGAGCCAGGGTTTGCCACCAATGCACTTCCAGAGCTTGTTGCTGAGCCTACTCAAGCTCGGTCCATGTCTTTTGTTGGAACCCATGAATACCTAGCCCCTGAAATTATTAAGGGAGAAGGCCATGGTAGTGCAGTTGATTGGTGGACGTTTGGTATATTCTTGCATGAATTACTGTATGGCAAAACCCCTTTTAAAGGTTCAGGAAACCGTGCTACACTGTTCAATGTGGTGGGGCAGCAACTTAAATTCCCAGATTCCCCCGCAACTAGTTATGCAAGCCGCGATCTAATTCGGGGTTTGCTGGTGAAAGAGCCACAGCACCGGCTTGGGGTGAAAAGGGGTGCAACTGAGATCAAACAGCATCCCTTCTTCGAAGGTGTAAATTGGGCTCTAATACGATGCAGCACACCACCAGAAGTACCAAGACCGATGGAAACTGAACTGCCAGTGAAATTTAACGCAGTTGAACCTGTTGGTGTCGGAAGCAACAGTAAAAGAATGGTTGGGGCAGACGTGAAGTCCGGGGGTAAATATCTAGACTTTGAGTTCTTTTAGTTTGGATCACATGGTTATTGTGCTATCTTGTATTCGTACCCATCATTTAAATCCCACAAGAGTATGCCTGATTCACTGTGTTCTGCTAATGAACTTAACTACCGCATAGAAAGAAAATCCCTGTTTTAATGGGGAAAATGTTTAGTAAACTTATACAGCGACAGACTTTAGCTGGTTCGTTGATGGCCCCCTTTCAAAAGTTATCGGAATGGTACCAGTTTTAGTGTTTTGAGTAGGGATCTCATTATTTGCTAATACAATTGCTATGTGTTGAAACCCTGTCATTTTGTTTCTGTTGCACCTTGTTATTTCAAGTTGCAGGAAATGCAAGTAGAAGTGTTGGAAGGGACAGTCTGTGTTACGTGTTTATATAGCAGTATAAGTAATATGCACGTTAACAAAATATAAGTATACAAGTTCATCTGAACTGGAATTTAATCCGAAAGATGAAACATTGTGACCGATGTTGATTCTTCACTGAATGATTGAGTAGTGATGTTCGGCGCTAACAACTGCGATCGGAAAGGGATGTTGATTGCGATCGGGAAGGCTCGTTGATGTGTGTTTATGTCTGGTTGAATATATTGGTTTAAAGGCGGGTACAGCATTCATTTGAAGCAATTTTTAAGGGTGTAATGCCAAAGGGTTAAAGGTCGAATATTGCCAATGTATCCAATGACATCAACAACCAAAAAAAAAAAAAGTCCACGTAAAAAAATAATTCAGGTGTTGTACCAAATCATCACTTGTTTCGAGCTCCTCGATAAGTGGTATGACGTGGAGCTCGAAATTTAGGAGTTCCGAGCCCTGTACGCGATGCGGCAAAAGTACAAGCACTCACTGCGTGTTCCAGGCTGGGGCAAACCTTTACTGGGACGCCTACATGGTAATAATCCCAAACTTGGAAATATTATAAAATTCCGCAAATATAAAAATGCACACCACTATTCCCCAATATGGTCGTAGAACTAAGCGGTACATCTTCTAAGAACTCAAAGACTCAGTCATGTTTATTTTAGAAAATGTTTTTTTAACCAAAATAGTTTCTGAAATTTGCATGACTTCTCATTTTAGTTCTTAATATTTGAAATCGATGGAATCAAAGACTCTTAATATTTGAAATCGATGGAATTAGTCTTTGAGTTTGTCCATAATCAATCATTTTAATTCTTACGTGAAAATCTTCATAAAATAAGAATAAAATAACAAAAATACCCTCAATTTTGGTCAAATCATTTTGGCCTATTGTTTATTATATTAAGGAAAATTTTGTCATTTTGATATTAATTTAACATAATTTTTACCGAATGACTAAAATGATTGATGGTAGACAATCTCAGAAACTACTTCTATTGATTTTCAAATCTCAGGGACCAAAGTGAGGAGTAGGAAAATCTCAGGGATCTTTATATAAAATTAAAGCTCATGAACTCCACTTTTATTCTAGAAATTATGAGAAATAAGGGCCAAATACTCAACAAGAAACACCGTGAAAGCATCACAACCAGAAATTAAGCTTTTCTTTTCCGTTTGCTGCTAACTTTTTGGAATAATTTATCTTGTTTCTTCCTTACAAGTGACTGTCATGAAATCATGTCCAGGTTTTTCAGCTACTTCCTTGGGTCAAATTATTCCAAGGCACAAGGTTCTGACAGAGAATTGTATTAATTTAAAACTACGCTACATGCTGGCCTGCACGGATGAAGATTTTGAGAAGAGGGTCAAGACTAGAGTGGAAGGGCGGCAAAGATTTGAATCTGGTGGCTTGAGTGAGGATGTTTATAATTCCGCCATGAGTTTTGACGATGACTCGCCTGATGACGGTGAGAGTGAGGCAGAACCAACTATGTTTGATGACGGTGAGAGTGAGACAGAATAAAGCATGCTTGATGACAGTGATAGTGAAGCAGAATTGTAAGTTGTTTACACAGAAGCCTTTACTTGCTCCTCTTTTGATTAATGCAATGCAAGACAAGCACTTACCAGTCTTCTGCTGGATGGTTATCGCATACGATCTTTTAAAAAAACTGGTTTCATTCAGGCTAGCATGTAAGAGATTGAAGTACATCACGAAAAGCTCGTATAAACTGAAGTAGGTAAAGCGACACAAACAAGGAATAGAAAGACCTTAATCAGTAAAAAGCCACAACCCAGGTAAAGCTGATACAAAAGAGTTCAAATTAACGTAAAACTGAGATGTGCATTCCTTCGTCTAAGATCAAGAGTTTCAAAATAACAGAAAACCTATCGGGTTTTGGCATATCGCTTTTCTTATTCTAACCAACCTGGGGAAAGTTTTGAGCCTAAAATGATCTAAAAACAAGCTCACAAGGATATGAAACCGTCTTCAACTACGCTGCTGATGGCGCAGTCGCACCATTTGCATAGACGGGGTGAAGCACGTGACCTTCCTTTGGCACAATATGCACCCACTTGCGTCCGCTGAGCTTGTGGTGTTCAAACTTAACAGAGCCTTCTTTCAGAGCAAAAAGGGTGTGATCCTTCCCTAAACCAACATAATTTCCAGGATGAAAACGGGTGCCTCTTTGGCGAACAATGATGTTTCCAGGTATCACTCTCTGCAACATAAACAGAATAACAACATTACAGTGATTCCAACGGAAGAATTAGACAAGCAATAACGAACTGTCCATTATGTTTTTTTATACACAACAGCCTCTCACCTCTCCGCCAAATTTCTTCACTCCAAGAAATTTGGGATTTGAATCTCGACCATTTTTGGTGGATCCAGCAGATTTTTTAGTAGCCCAGCGCCTAAAGGTCAAACTCAATCCTTCTGCCGTGACATCTAAAATTAGCACATCAAACAAAACATCAGGACTTAGAAGCAGAAACACAACATAATCATGCTACATTCTAGCACAACTCATTCAGTGATACCGAACTCGTACCAGAAGCACTGCTGTATACGGGAGTATTCGTAACAATGTTCTTCAGACCCAACCTACTGCATATTGATGTTGCAAAATTCATCGTCTGCTTTTCCGGAAAGATGGGCAAAACCCTGAAAGAAAATCACCACAGAATACTCGAGCTTTGAAACCAAATCATTTCAGTTCACCGACATCAATGAGAACCCTCACCTTATATCTATTTATACATAAGTTGCATATCGAAGTGCAATTTTTCCAAAATTGGGTTTGCATACGCTCAAAAAATAACACCACAACAACAACAAAACCTTATCCCACTAAGTGGGGTCGGCTATATGAATCCTAGAACGCCATTGCGCTCGGTTTTGTGCCATTTCTTCTACGAAAAGGCTTCAGATCGCCTTAAATTCCAACAAAAATTGAGGAACTATTTCAAGAGTGAAATTGAAACTTCCACAACAGAAACCCAGTTACAAACAGTCAAGAAATGGAGATTCATATAATCTAATCACCACATAAACACCAGTCAGCGATCATGAATTCCAAACTGGAAATAGTTAAATAAACAAAAGAGCAATACCCAGAAACCAAAACATATTAAAATTGAAAAACATCAGAAGAAGATTAAGGCTTTATTATTTATTAATATTATTGAGTGAGAAGCGCAACCTGATTTTTCTGGAGTGTGGAGCTAAAGCTTCCTCTGGGTGAGCTTGAGATGCCACGAACGATGCGTGAGGGGAGACTGAAGAAGAAATGGTTTAGGGTTTTGGGTTGGGTTAGTTGGGTCATGGGCTAACGAATGCTGAACGCGATTCACAAGAGAACCGCCCATAATTATATTTCACACAAAACTAGTAAAATCTTCATTAATCACAATAATAAACTCTTTTTTTTTTTTTTTTTTTTTTATAACTACCCATATTAAAATAAAAATTGCATCATAAAAGTAAACATGACAAATTAATTAAACTTCTAAACTCTATGTAATCTGAATTCGAGTACATCATTTAATTGGTAGCTTTATGTTACTTCTTAATTCACTTTGCTCTCTCATTGAGATCTTTAGTCAAATCACACTTTGAGATATTCCTAGACTCAACTTCATTTTTACAAGGTTGGGATTAAAAAAAAAAAAAAAAACTAGATATCAAACGGGCTCTTAATATCCAGTTTCAGTTTTTAATCGAAAGATTAACATCTAATTTTCACCCCTTTAACATGTTAGTGGAATATAACACAGGTCATATTCTTGATGACCAAAAGTTGAGTTAGTGAGAGGGAAGGGATATTGGAAAGGTTATAGCTTTGCGACCAGAGCTCCTAGGATGTAACATTGTGAAAAAGCTCGAGGTTAGTATGAAATATTTTCGATCACTTGGCATACATCACGGAGTTTTAGGTGAGATAATTGCTGATTTTCCCATGCCGCTTCGGTACAATATGGATGTTCTCCGTCCAAACTACTCCCTCAATGAGTTTCCAAGGTGAAAGTAGGGCTCACTGAAACGAAATCCTTGTTCTGATTCTCAAACCGAAGTTTTCAGGAATCCTAATTTAAAGACTGATCTCAAACCAAATTTTCAGAGAATCCCGAAATAGTTTCAGGATTTCGGGACAAATCAGGAATCCTGAAGTAATTTTGGGCTTTTAGGCTATAGGGCTAAAATTGACATATTGGATATGATATCCGCCAACTAAAAACAAACCCATAGAACTCATTAAGAAGAATGAGTTCAGTTATGATTGATGTGTTCAATATGACCTTTATTACTTTATTGTATATGTTGGTTTTGTTGTACCTTTTTAAAGATCGGAGTAGATTCAGGAGGACGAGGAATACTATGAAATAAAATAAAATAATCGGCGTTTCTGCATTATTATTAAATAAATCGTACATCCCTTGTATTTGTTATAAAAGGGTTAAAGTTTGAGAGATAACCTTTTAAGACGTAGGTGCAAGGTAGATGTAAAATGCCACACAAAAACTATAGCACAGACAGATAATAAATAAAAGGCAGAGGAATAGATGATGTTACTGATATTTCTCTCTTGTTTTTCTTCTTCTTATATTTTCTGTTACATGCAGAGTGCTCTATTTATAGAGTAACTCCAAACTGATGCAGTTAATGCATCTTGAAATTTAAAACGCATCTTCTGACATTACAATTCATTTT